TTTTATAGGATAATTAATTATTTTATGATTAGATAATTTTTTTTAATGGATTGAATAAGATTTTATGAAATAATTAAGGATTTTATGGGCTATTAAAAGTTAATGGAATGATTAAAGTTTTAATTAAGTTAATTAAGTAATTAATTATTTCAAAGATTAGCAGTTTAACTGAGTGATTTGTGGTTTATTTTGGAGTTTAATGTGTTAATTAAGTGATTAGTGATTAATTAGGTAATTATTGATTTATTTTAGCGATTAGTGTATTAATTAGAGAATTGATGGTTTAATTAAGTGACTAATGTGCTACTTTGAGGATTTGGACTCTCAGTCTAGATAGTTTAAGGGGCTAAGGTCTCAGCTTAGGGATAGTTTAGGGTTATGCTTGAGATTAGAAAAGTTTACGCTCGATTAGTAGTAGGAAAATAGGATTAACCTCATGGTTTTGGGGAAATATGGGTTAAAACATTCAGTTTAGGGGAGATTTAAAATTTATGTCTTTTGTTTGATTAAAAATGTAATTTTTACTTTTGATTTTAGCAAGGAAAAAAGGGAGAGGATGTCATTTACACATATTAATACTATACAAACATAATACATAATAAATATAAGAAAATCCCTATGAATTCAACATGCAAAATATAAAAAAATTGACATAAAACAGAAAGTAACCAAAAGCCTTATTTTTTCTTATACAAAATATAACATATGATGATAAATTTCCAAATTAACAAATAACATGATGAAAGCATAAAGAATTTAAAAATTGAATGGTATAATTTCAAAATAAATAAGTAACATTGAGAAAACATAAAGAATTTTTAAAATTGATGGTGAATTTTTTATATTAGCACAAAATATTGAAAGATGCATGGGGAATTTGAAAAATTGATGGTGAAGTTTAAAACTTACATTAAATATTGAAAGATATATGGGGAATTTGAAAAATAGAAGGTGGATTTTAATGATTAACTCATAACATTGAGAAACATATGGAGGATTTTAAAAATTGATGGTGAAAATGTAAAATTGCAAGTTGGAATAAGAGAGTTGTACTTTCCTTTTGAGTTATTTGAAATTCTTCTTTGAATTCTCCTTGCTTTAGCTTTGTGTATTCTCCTTGCCTCCTCATCTTCTTGCCCATGATGGGAAGAAGAGAAGATGGAGTGTTTAGACTTTTGGAAGAAAACAAAGAAAGGGATTTTGCTTAGTCTTGGACAGGAGAAAGGAGAGGTGAAAGTTTAAAAATTGAATTAGGGAACCATGGAGGAAAGAGTGGGTCTAGGCTAACATTATGGGAGAGTGAGTAGTGGAGAGTTTTGGGGAGAAAAGAAGTTAAGATGAGGTGCAAAACTATGATTAAAGAAGGGAGTTAATGGAATGGAAGGAGAGATTGGATTAAAGTGAGGTGGAAGAGAGAGAAAGGGATGGGGGCATGTGGAAGATGTGGAACAATAGGAAAGGAGGGTATGGATTGAAGAGGGAAATGACTAGGATGGGGGAGTTGAAGAGGGAAAAGAGGGTTGGGATTAAATGATATGAAGGGGAATTTTGTAAAATGGATTGGTATTTTGGTAAGTAGGCCATATGGTAGTAAGAGTAGTTATGAAAAAACTCAAGTTTAAGTCGTTTTAAAGAGGATAAGAAAAGTAATCCAATGGTACAAATTTTTTTTTTTCAAAAAAGATGGTCCCTAGCTCAAGTTATGGCCATTTGAAGTAGCTAGGTGATTAAGAGGTGTTTACAAGGTGGTTGGCAGTTGGCTATGGTCAAAATATTAGCTTGAGCTCATTTAATAGAAAAAAAATGTAAAGAATTCAATGGTACCAGTGTTTTCAATCAAATCAAGATTCGTGTGAAGATATTTTCGATCTAAGTGGACACAAAACCTTCAGAGAGAAAAAAATGGTGAATTTTTATGTTGAAATTTTTAATTAATTTATTTTTTCAAATTGTATATTTTTTAGTTTAGAACAATTTTAGTTATATTTCAAACTTGATTTGAAGTGATCATTTTGAGGTGGTGGCCAAATTATCCCTATATTATCAAAAGTATCATTTTTTTTTGTCTGATTATATTCAGCTCAAGAGGTCTCCAAATGAAGCCAGATTTAGACGCATTGAGACTCATTTAAAAGGTTTTGACGATATAGATGCAATGGCAGCCTGTTTTCAAAAATAGTAACTGTTTAAAAATTTTTATGTAGGGTCATTTTTTATGCATGAAAACCCAAAACCCTAAATGCATAATTTTTTATAAACAGTGTCTGATGACTACCTAACTAATTTTCATAGTCCCATATCTGATTAGGAAGATCATGCAACTTACAAAATATAATTTTGACAACCAGATTGGCTTATGGAGAAAAATTTTAATTTTAGGGTTTGTGACAGTAATGTTCATGGATGAAAGTTTGAATTAAAGAGTTTTAGGAAAAAAATGTTTTAAACAATCATCAAACTTATTTGAATGATATTTATATGTGATAAAAAGTTTCATAGACTTGAGTTCTACATTGATCTCGTGAGAGAAAATGATAATCTTTTGGTTTGGTGATTAAGGGTGTTTTGCAAGTTATTTTTGGGTTTAGTTAAAATTGATTATTTTTTAAATATTTTTTTATTTAATTTTATTTTTATCAAGTTAAAATTCTATTTTATTTAAATTAGGGGTTGCTCAAGACTAAGCTCAAGTGAGATCCAGTTTTGTTCAACCTTATTTTCCTTAAATTAAGTATAGTTAATGTATTTTTAATAAAGTATAATTGAGCTTCTACTTTTATGTCTAAAAATAAGTATTCAATTACTTAATACTTATAAGGCCAGCTCTATTTTAGATTTGTTCATGCCTATATCACTATAAAATTCCAAATATATATATATATATATATAATGGGAATTTTTAAGACCCCATGTTTTTAAAGATCATCAAAATTAGAAACAATTTCTTCAAACAATACCATGTATATTTTAAATTATAATGTTGAGCTTAGATCATTAAATTAAAATTTTAAAAATATTTAAAATTAGTTTAAAAAATTAAATATAATATATAATATTTATCTAATCAAAATGCTCATCTCTACAATAATCATCAATAGCATTTTTGTTAAAATACTATTAGGGTAAAATTGCTCCAATATTTAATATGATCTATCAGTTTCACAACCAAATTCTTAGGCATCTACATATATAGTAAAAGAACTAAAACAAATTAATTTCAAAGTAGATAGTAAGTTCACAATAATAAATTCAAATCATGTTAACAATATGTTGAATAATACTTGAGCCATAATTTAATTTTGCATGCGCCTTACCAAAACTTTGGTTAAATCTTAACCAATCTTGCTAAAACTTGTTAGATCAACATTTCAATTTTTGAATATATTTTCATTATGTCAAAAGCTGGTATTTTATTGCCCGATATATTTTTAGGTCTAAAGGTTTACAGTGTGAACTCAAATACACACACATATATATAGATATATGTATATATTTATAGATATATATACATGTATATAGTTATATGTGCACGTACGGTGGCTTGTTGGTAAAGCAACCTCTCTGAATGTCGTAAGTCCTCACAGGCCACAGGTTTGAATCCCACCGTGTGTAGAGTGTGGTACTGCAATATTTAGCACAAGTAAAGATGGTCGGGGCTTGTCTATTAACATTCGGTCATTTCTTTAATTTTAAAAAATAGAAATACATGTATATACTTATATGTATGTGTTTGTACACTCACATATATATACACATATATATACCTATATTTATATGTATATATATAGCCTAGAGGTGATCTTTAGCTCACACATACAACTCGCTTGGATCGCGGTTCTCATAAAACTTGTTCAGTTCTATATATAAAAGGGGATAATGACGACCTAAAAATGACATTTATTGAAAGTAATCATCCACATCGAATGTCCAAAAGAGCTCTATTATTCACCAAATCATTTAGCACTTTTCTATTAAGTTTAGGTCAAGAGAAATGCCCCTTTTTTATATGGAGAAGACGTTTATTTATAATTTTCTTGGTGGCATTTTGATAAAATCATTCAAGATACCAACATTCTCCATCGGATAATATATATTGATTCATTTGATCATTGATTGCTTATAATATAAAGTGCAATCATAATACCAAATTTGAGTGATTTTAAACACATTGGGTTCAACTAATCGAGATGCTCACTTGGCATTCAGATATTGTTTAGTAATCCAACTGTCATTACGAAAATTTCAATTGATCTTCACATGTTTTAGTTGGACTAATTTAAAATTAGGATTAGATCACTTTTGATGTCGTTAGGTTGTTATCATTGAGTTGTTTGAATTAATTATAAATTTGTTCAATCGGGGGTTCAAATAATAAAAAATTTTACTCTAAAAATTTAAATTTAAATATTATATTGCGATTCATTTTTAATCAAGCAATTTTTTTATAATATTTTTAAATAACTCTATATAAAAATATATTTATTAATGTGAACCTTCCATGTAATTAGAAGGACAATGGGAATTAAAAATAACAGTGTTATGATATCATTATTTATATGAAGATTATTTTCCTACAGATTCTATCAGCTAAATCTATTAAATTAATTACAAATATATTGTCATGTTATAAAAACATATGATTTTTTTGGGGGCAGCTCAAAATCCACGCCACCAAAAGCTTATAATATACGTATGTAAATTGGGTGGTCTTTGCTTTTGTTCGTTACCATGCTCAACAGCAAGTTGTGCTATGTCGGATACCTCAAATCACCTGTTTATTTTTTATTTTTTTTTAAATAGGTTAGTTGAATATAAATAAATATTTATTGTGAATTTAATTTCCAAATGCGACAAATATAGATATTGTGAATATAAATAGATATTGTGAATATAAATAGTCAGCTTACCATGGTCCAGCGTCACACCATACCGCTTCCATGCCGCTTAATTCATCCATATAAGTCATGAAAAGTAAAACACTGAAGTCCAGCTGAAAGAGCGAAAGAGTCGACGGAAATGGAGGAGGGGCTTCTGGAGAGGGAGGAGGAGGGGACAGTGAAGGAATGTTACGGGGATTTTGCCTCCGAGGCGCGGAGGCTAGGTTATCTCGCCGGGCCGATGGTGGGGGTGACGCTATCTCAATACTCGGTTCAGGTAACCTCCTCGATGATGGTCGGGCATCTCGGTGAGCTCGCCCTATCCAGTTCGGCCATTGCGACATCCCTCGCCGGCGTCACAGGATTCAGCCTTCTCGTAAGTCCTTTTTATTTGATAATCTTTTTTCCGTTTGATTATTCTGAACCGAGCTATGAATCCAACTTCCTGAAGAAGTCTGTTCTGATTTCAGTCTTTTTTAGATTTTGACTGGGTTTCTTTCTTTTCGTGTTGTTTGAAAGGGCTTGAAATCGCTGTTTGTGAAGGGAGGGAATATGTAATAAACGGGGTTAATCGGGTTTGATTAGGAACTAGGAAAGTCGAGCTCATCTAATATAATGAACAGAAACATGCTATTGTCTATCATTTCTTTTCTCATAAAATAATCTACATATATATATATATATATATATTATATATATATATATGGGCTGCTCTCTAGTTCGGTGGCTAAACTTGTTGACCTTCAGCTTGGTAAGACAGGTTCGGTCGGCTATGTTGAGCGAGTTTGATTAGTTTCGAATCGACAAGAGTGATACAATCTGCTAGACTTTGTCGATCGGTTGATCTAGTCTTGCTGTCGAACCTTGATCCTTTGATGAGGACCTCCTGTCAGTTGAGTAAAACTTGGCGGAGGATGAATCACCTGATGAGGAGCCTCAAAGAAGTCCGTGGGACAACTAGTGATATTGAGGAATTGGGTCCTTCCTCGAATCAGATCTACCTGTCTTCAGTCGGTTTCTTATAGTGGTTAGTTCAGATTCTTTTCTATCTTGTTTTAGTCAGATTGACTTGAATTTGGATCGATCAGCCGCGTCCTTTGTCCTTTTTCCGGCTCAATCAATCTTCGAATTTGGCTCGAACGGCTACATCTAATCAAATAAATGGGTCTCCTAGTTTTCTGTTAGCGGGCCTTCCTTTGTTGTACTTTTTTTTTTCTTGACCATTAGATCTTATAAGGATTAACGCTGACATACTTTCAATGTATTAAGTTAATTGTTTTGCATGATATGGAAAATTCATAATGCTGCTATAAAAATAAATTAAACAAAATTATATTGTGAGAGGAGTATATTATTTCTGTGCACAATCAAAAGTTTTGTTGTATAGAAATTTTGATGGTGCTGAATAATGAACCTTTTCTTCTACTTTTTTCCATCCAAATTAATCACTTTTCTTATAAAAAGAACTTTTCATATTGTAAATACCTTGAAACATCATATGTTTTCAATTTACTTTGATTTTTAAGAAATTATGATGTAGTTTTTACTGTGTTTTTTTTTTTAAAATTATTTATTTCTTTTTTCTTTTTCTTGGCTTTTCCTTCGACTAATACCAGAATAAAACAAATTATTTATTGTGATTTTGGCAGCAACGTTAGAATTTGGATATTGAAATTTGTTTTTTGGATTTATGCATATTTCTTTGGAATCTTCTGCTTATAACTGTAGAATCATTCATCTCAAAGCTGGCACTGAATTGTATATTGAAGTAATAGAATAGTGGCTGGCATTTATTTGTTCAACACTTCATGATCTCCTAGAGGGAAACATGAATTTTTACATGAAGGTCCAAAATGTGGAAAATTTTAAAATTAAACCATTTACATAGATACCACTCAATTCCTATGTTTTCAGAAATCTAAAACCTAGACTTTGCTCTTACATTTGTAACACCCAAAATTTTCATATCAAATAGAAAATACCACTATATTAACTTTTACAAAAGTCACTTTTAATGCAGAGGTAAGCTGCTATATTGGTAAGAATAAAAGTTTAGGTGCTGTGTAGAAATGTAAATACATAGGACTTGAGTGGTATGTATGTAAATCCTCTTATTTATTTTCACGCATCTGTCCAAATTAAGTAAAAATATATATATATATTAATTTTTCTTAGCACAAGCTGCTTCTCTCCGTGCCAGCTTAATACATTCTGACTGTGGTCAATCTATTCTTCTACCAAATTTGCAGGTGGGACTGGCTAGTGGCTTGGATACTCTTTGCGGCCAAGCTTATGGAGCAAGACAATACAGAAAGCTTGGAATCCAAACTTACAGAGCCATCATCTCCCTTATAATAGTCAGCCTCACTATTTCTCTCCTTTGGGTCTCCATGGGCAAGCTTCTCTCGCTCATAGGCCAAGACCCCCTCATATCCCAAGAGGCTGGCAAATATATTGTATGGATGATCCCTGGCTTATTTGCCAACAGCATTGCTCAGCCGCTCTTGAAATTTCTTCAATCTCAAAGCCTAATTCTTCCAATGCTTCTGAGCTCACTGGCAACTCTTTGCATCCACATTCCTTTATGTTGGACCATGGTGTTCAAAACCGGATTGGGCAAAATTGGGGCGGCGCTTTCCATAAGCATTTCTTACTGGATTAACGTATTGATTCTAGTGATGTCCATAAAGTACTCGGAGTCCTGCAAGAAAACTCGTGTGCCCCTCTCAATGGAGGCGTTCAAGGGCATTGATGAGTTCTTGAAACTGGCAATTCCCTCCGCAGTAATGATTTGGTAATTTCAATTGGTATATGGTTTTATCGTTCTTAATTAATTTCATTTAGGGGTGGTTTTTAAGTGAACAGTTTTAACAAATTTAGTAAATCCTGTAAATCCGGATTTATTAAATCCTGCCAACAACATGATTTAGTAAATCCGGGAATTAAGTTAAAACTGAGAAGGAATTGAGAAGCAATTGGCTTTACTAAATCATGAATTTAAAATTTTCATTTTTTTTCAGTCTGACAACTTAAATCATACCTAAATCATCTGACACCATACATCCCCTTGCAAGGTCATTTATGAATGGTTCTTTAATTTTTTTTTATATAATAATGTTATTAATTGCTTCATTACAGCCCTGAATGATGTTTACATACATACCACCCAATTTCTATCTATTTACATATCCAATACCTAAACTTTAACTTTTATATTTATATCGTGTCACATAAAAAATACTGCCATTCTAACTCTTAAAAGATAAAAATGCATCTTTTTATGCAAAGTTAAGGTGCCATGAATGTAAAAATTGAAATTTAGGCGTTAGATATGTAAATTCATAGGAATGGAGTGGTATCTCTGTCAATCTTCCTCTCTTATTATGTGGTTACTAACTATTTGATTACAGCCTTGAATGGTGGTCATTCGAGCTGCTCGTCTTACTATCCGGTCTCCTACCAAATCCCAGACTTGAAACATCAGTCCTTTCTATTTGGTACGACACAATTCATTCACATAAACTGATTCAGCATCAAAGGTTTTGGCTCAACACATATTGTCTTGCTTCTGCAGCCTTACAAGCATTGCAACGCTCTACACCATACCAAATGGCCTTGGTGCTGCTGCAAGGTATGATCATCCAACAACATAACATTCTATCAAATTTTCACCATACAAATCTGATGAACTTTATGCACGCAGTACGCGAGTATCGAATGAACTGGGAGCTGGGAATCCACATGGAGCAAATTTGGCTTTTCGTGTGGCGATGTCGATCACAATCGTGCAGGCACTTGTGGTGAGTGTAACGATGTTCGGCCTCCGTGGAATCATCGGATATGCTTACAGCGGGGAGCATGAGGTTGTGGATTATGTTAGGGAGATATTTTCTCTTGTTTCCATCTCAGTTATCATGGATAGCTTCCAAGGAGTGTTGTCTGGTAATCTTCTTATGTTTCGCTCAAAGTGTAGGCGTTGCTACTGATAAACTTTTAGGGAATTTACATACATACCGCAAAATTCTTATATATTTTCATATCTAATACCTAAATTTTAATATTTAAACTTTTAACGCAGTAGTGTGATAAACCTGTGCATGAAAAGTGCATTTTCCTGATTTGAGTGGTAAGTAAATATGAATGTTTAGGTGTTAGATGTGTAAATACATAAGAATTTTATGGTATGTGCATAAATGCCACTAATTTTTTTTTGTTTGAATTTGTATGTGAACACTAAACTCTAGGAATTGCTCGCGGATGTGGATGGCAACATATTGGAGCATATGTTAACCTTGGAGCATACTATCTCGTCGGAATCCCAACCGCGGTCGTGTTGGGTTTTCTCCTCCACATTGGAGGCAAGGGTCTATGGATTGGTATACTATCAGGAGCTATTGTTCAAACCTTTCTTCTTGGAGTAATAACAATTTTTACTGATTGGCAACAACAGGTATGTTAAGTTCTCATTTATATCATGGATAATTATGTTATTTTTAATGAGTTGATAATTTTTTAAAAATTTAGAATTTTATGTTATTGTTGGGGCTAATTTTGCAGGCAGTGTTGGCAAGGAAGAGAGTATTTGATGAGAGATCTTCACTGGAGAGTGATTTGAAATGAGTTCAGTTCTCAATTATTTGTTTGATTCATCATCCATTTCACTCATTTTTCAGCGTAGAAAATGTGTGGCTGAGACTTGAAATAATCATTTATCTATGCAGTTTAACAGTTGTGATGTTTGTTTTATATTGAGTTGAATCAAACAAAAGTAAAATGGTTCATTTACATGCATACCACACCTAAAATTTATTTTTTACATTTATACCAACTGAAATTTCCATATAACATTATAAATACCCCTATTTTAACTTTAAAAAAGGGAAATACAACTTTTCATATATAGGTAAGCTGGCATATTTGTAAAAGTTGAAGTTAAGGTGTTTGATATGTAAATACATAAGAATTCAGTGGTATGTATGTAAATCTTCCTATTTCACTTTTTAGAAGTAACTATTAGTATTTTTTATTTGATGTTAAAAGATTTCGGCCCCATGCATGTAAATATAAATGTTCAGGTGTTAGATTTGTAAATACATAAGATGTGCTAAATGCACATATAAAAGAATAATTTTGAATTTTAAAACATATGAATATAATATTTTTTTCTATGCTCCATTAATAAAAAAGATAAAATATTAAATTATTTTCTTATTCACATCCAAAGTTTGAATTTATTTTAATTGTTTAGCACTATTTTTTATCAATTATTTAAAATTTAAGAGTGATATCAATCTATGGAAAAGCAAAGTGTTGAGATTCCTTAAAAAGGAGTGAATATTAGAGCTACAACCCTTCATTGCAAATACTGCTGGGGGTGGTAAGGGTAGGAGGTGGTGATGGTTGTTTTTTAATTTTCTCACACCCCAAATATGAATTAATAAATAATCTACATAAATCATATAAAAGCTGAAAACATTGAGAGCAATTATTTTACTGTTTAAAATGAAGGTATACTATTACCACCCTTTTCACCTAAATAATACTAATTGCAAAACAGGTCCTTTGCCCTTTACCCCCTTTTTAATAGATACTTGAGCCCATTGAAGGTGACAAAGTAGAAATGACTTTTGTTTAATAATGTGTATTATAAATATTGAACACATATTTGTCCGTAAATCATATCCAAGGAATGAGCATAAAAAGAAGATTGAGAGAGAGAGAGAGAGAGAGAGAGAGAGAGAGAGAGAGAGAGAGAGAGAGAGAGAGAGAGAGAGAGAGAGAGAGAGAGAGAGAGAGAGAGAGAGAGAGAGAGAGAGAGAGAGAGAGAGAGAGAGAGAGCTTGAAAGAGTTATTTCTGCACCCCCTTCCCCGATTTCAACAACAAACCTTATATTAAATTTTTTTATTTATTTATAGGGGCTATAATTATTATAAAATGACATTTATACCTCTGATTCCTTTGGTCGGCAGACATTGATCAATTAGTTTTAGGCTGATTTACTCCCAGTTAATTGGTCTATGGTAAGTTATCTTCCTATCAGTTGCCTCCGATTGACTAGAGTTTGAGTCGGTTGGCCTCTAATCGGTTGACCTTTAATTGATCGGCCTCTGATTGGTCAACCACTCTATTAGCCTCTGATGGGTTCGACCACCAGTCCACTATCATTTGATTATCCTTGCTTGGTACCCCTACATTGCTTGAGATTCATTTTTTGAATATGCATTATTCTAATGTATTGGATCCATAGAAGATTCTATCAGGATTATTTTTATTGTATATACTTTAGTTCTTTGATTCTCTCATATCTTAGTAGGTTGTGTTGCGATAAGAACAATAGAATTAAATGCAATACATGATTAGTTTGTTATCATTAGACGACCTCAATGATTGATACTCCCTTGATTTTCAAACTACGATTGTTATAAATAAGACTTGGATGATAGTTGTTTTTAAAAAGAGCCATCTCTGCCCCCGGTTTCAGAAACCAATCCTTACATTTTCTACTCCTTTTATTCATAGAGTGCTAGAATTATTGTAAAATAATATTTATACCCTTGATCTTCTATGGTTGGCCGACTGTTGATCAGTTGATTTTAGGTTGATTGACTCCCAGTTAATTTTTCTCCGACAGATCAACTTTTTGTTGATCGACCTCCGATCAGCCTACCTTTTGAGTGGGCTGGCATTTGGTCATGCAATAACTATAAGTCTTAAATAATATTAAAAAATAAATAAATATTAATAATTCTAATAATAATCATTAACTAGGTGTTTGTGTATGAGTTCATCTTTAGGTGTCAAAGAAGATATCCTTTCATTCGAATGAAACAAATAAAGACAGTGAGAGATGGAGAAAGGAGAGAAAGAAATGAAACACCGGTGAAAGAAAAGGAAGAAGCAAAGGAGGCTCTTTTGTAAAGTCAAGGAGGAAGTAACACTAGCCGAGCAACCTAGTGAGGAGGAAGAAGCGTGTGGTTTAAGGTGAGCAGCACAAACATCATGTGTAACGTGGAGGTGTGTATGCTGAGGAGCTTCACTTTCAACCCCAATGTCCAGCCAAGGAAAGCGAGTCATGTCAAACCCTGACTCAGTTAAGTAGCTCCGTTTGAAGGATTAGAGAAAAGAAGCGGCCCCAACGTGCAGGAGAAAAAACCGAGCATATGTAATAAGGTTTGTTAGCGTTTAAGTTTTTAAGTAATATAAATTAAATTATTGCTACAATTTAAAGATTGCTTCGTCTGGAGCTTTGACGAAATGGCAGGGTTATCTTTAGAAGTTACAGTTCACAAACTTGGGGTGGACAAGAACATGACTCCCGTGAAACAAGCTTCAAGAAGGATGCGCCTCGAAATAGTAACAAGTCACTATCGGAGTGAAGAAATTAATAGACACTAAATTTGTGTGGGAAGAGCAATACCCCACGTGGTTAGCGAACATTGCACCAGTTAAGAAGAAGAACTGACAAATTTGTGTGTGTGTCGACTTCAGTGATTTAAACAAAGCGTGTCTAAAAGATGAGTTCCCGCTACCAATACCAGCGTTAATGGTAGACATCACATCAACACACGAGATTTTCTCCTTAATGGATGGATCATCAGGATATAATCAGATCAAGATGGCTCCAAAAGATGAAGCATTTACAACCTTCAGAATGCCGATCGGGATCTTCTACTACACAGTGATGCCGTTTGGGTTGAGAATGCCGGAGCAACATACCAACGAGCTATGACGAAGATCTTTGATGACCTCATCCATAACCAGGTGAAGTGCTACGTGGACGACTTGGTTATCAAAAGCAAGCAACAAATATGACACTTCTATGATTTGAGGATCATTTTCCAGCAATTACGACAATATAATCTTAAGACGAATACCTTAAAGTGCGCCTTTGGCGTTACCTTCAAGATATTTTTAAGAATCGTTGTTCATCATCAGGGAATCGAGATCGATTTAGATAAGATTAAAGCTATGTGGAAATGACGCATCCCAAAACATTGAAACAACTATGATTTTTTTATGGTAAATTGGCATACCTAAGATGCTTTATTTTTAATATGTCAGGAAGGTGTCAGCCATTCTTGGTATTAATTTAAAAAGATGTCAAATTAGTTTGTGAAAAGAAATGCCAACAGGCTTTTGAGTACATTAAGAAATATTTAACGACACTTCATGTTTGGCAGCCCCTATCTCGTGAAAATCGTTGATACTTTATACCATGGCCTTAGACGACTCTCTCGGAGCCATACTAGCTCAGGTCAATGATGAGGGAAAGCAAAACACACTCTGCTATTTGAGTCAACGTCTAATTCTGATGGAGGGAAAGTATTCTTCTATTAAGAAGCATTATCTGGCTTTGATTTTTGTCGCCCAGAAGCTAAAAAATTACATGCTTTCTCATAGGATCACCCTTATTTTGAAAGTTAATCTATTGCAATATTTGATGACCCGACCAAGACTTTCCGGACGTCTAGTAAGGTGGTTGATGCTTTTATTGTAATTTAATATAACTTTTGTGCCCTTTCGCGCTATCAAAGAACATATTCTAGCAGATTTTATCGCAACACACCCACTTTCAGCTGGGCCCCCTCTCGAAGATGACTTACAAGATGAGCAAATATTGCATATAGAGCTTCACAATGCTCAACATTGGGAAATGTACTTTGATAGAGCTTAGTCAGCCAGAAAAGATAAAGGATCAGAGATAATTGTACCTGACAAAGCAAGAATCAGTCTGATCTTCATTACATTAGATCAGGGCTTGTTAAGATTCTCTTACCACCTAACAGAGTTGTGTACAAACAATGCAACAGAGCATGAAGCATTAATCATCAGACTGGAATTGACAATATCACTGGATATAATAGATATTGCCATCTATGATGACTCACAACTTGTCATTCAACAAGTTTTCAGACACTACAAGATTCTGAAGCTAACATTAGCAAAATACCATCAATATACAATGAATTTGTTGGAACAGGTTCCCAAAGTGACGTTGTACTAGATTAGTCGGGGAGATAACGCTCATGCTGACGCTTTAGCCAAACTTGCTAAAGAATTAGCGTGTTCGCTGGAGGATTCACGGTACAGGGATGTTAGGTCCTTTCATGGATCGACCTCAACGATTTGCATAAGCTCGGGAATGAAGAAGAAGAAGAGGTAATAGCTGCAATTGCTAACATTACCGAACATTAGTACAGATCATTAATAGAATATTTGCAAACATGAAAACTATCAGACGATAAATCAAAAGCATATCACATCACAAGAAGAGTTATGTCATATGTTGTGGTAGGTAATGTCCTCTATAGAAGATTGTTCGATCAGATGTGGTTGCAATGTCTAAGCAGAGCAGAAGCACATGATATTGTCAAAGAAGTACATGCTGGATTGTGTGGTGCTCACCAGTCAAGGCCAAAGATAAAGGTGAAAAATAAGAGACTCAGGTATTATTAGACAGCGATGTTAATAGATTGCATGGAGGCAAAAAAAAGTGTCACCTGTGTCCGGTGCATGGAGTGGTCTTGCATCAACCTCCGAATGTGTTACATCCAATCGTTGCCTCGTGATCATTTGAGTGTAGGGGCACGAATATAGTGGGTTTGATAGATCCTCCATCTTCAAAAGAACACAGGTTTATTCTTGTAGCCACAAATTACTTCTCCAAGTGGGCAGAGGCAGTGTCATTACGCGCATCATGTTCTTCAGTTTTTCAGGAGTCAAATTGTCAACCCTTTCAGCATCCCGCGCAGAGTTATTTCTGATAACGA